AAGGTTTATGATTGTGGGTTAGCGGAGATGAGAATTCTTACACCTCACTAAATTATATTGTTACCATAGACGTCGTACTGACGAGGTCCAACTGTGGTGACGGTAAGAAATGTATACGACTTAATGGACCGAAACATTTTTTGCCTACTTTAATAATCCTTTACAACCCTTTCATCTTTTTGTTCGAATTTTCTCCAAAACCCTAAATGGGGTAAAGAGGGAAAGCCAAGAGGATTTTAAGAAAAAATTTTAAGAAAAAGACATTCAAAAAAAGGCATCCAGAAACGATATTAAAAAAAAAAAAATTAGAAAATCCAGTAGCGGATCTCGTTCATGGATGTTTTTATTGCTGGGACAATTATTCGTTGAGGCGTCGTCGCTACAGGCACTTTACTTCTCTTCGCGGTAGCCATAGCTGGAAAAAAAAAATTTATCGAAAAGAGGAAGACGCTGGGAACAAGCAAAGGAAGAACGTAACGCGAAAGGGATAAAGAACGGTGTGGGGTTAGGGAGACAAAACAATGTATTAAACGGCGGCAGTGAGCTTCAGTGGGTGGAAAGTACTTAGAGAACTGGTACCTGTTTCTATGAATGAAAGTGCTAAATCAGACACAACTTTCACGACGTTAATGTGATTGACTGAACCGCCTGTTGGTCAGCCGACTGGTGTTCGCTCCCTCTCCTGAGGGGATTACCAATCCAGTGGTTCCTCGAACAGGGAGGTACTTCACAGGGTTTTGGTGGTGCTTCTTTCATTAAATGTACTAACGCCTTAATAAAACAAATTTATAATATACCAAAAAAGTCGAGGTCGTCTTTAGCATATGTTTTTGGTGTCATCATTGTTTTGTTCCGAACTCTGGCACTTCATGATCACTATCACTTTACCCGCCAACGAGCGGTTGTTCACAAGTCGCTGCTCATTTTCAGGATTTTCGTGACTTTGAAGAAATGCCGGCACATAGTTTTCTGGTGAACAGTTAGTTAAAAGCATTCATCCAAAATGGCAATGAGTTCGGGTATCGTTTCTGCTGCTGAGGTAAGCTTGTTTAGCAGCAAATGCGCAACTTTCATTTTCATGTGTTAGCTATCTCTTTCTCTTTCTCTTTCTCTCTCTCTCTCTCCCTAATTCGAAGAATTTCCAGTGATTACTCTCTCATGAAAGGAGCCGTTTTTGAGCGGCAAGAGAGTTAAACTCTTCACTTCCTCGGGAACTCTTCAATCATAACGTAAGATAGCTTCAACTGCTCGTCACCTTCGCGCTGACCTGTTCAAGCTTTTTTTTAATTTTTATATGTTATTTTTGATTTGTATAGCTGTCGCTTTATGTCTGTGTTTTGCAGTCTATGGTTTGTCCACTTTTTCGCCGGTATCTCAGAATGTCAGCACTGTGCTTGGGAAGCAGGCATAACCGTGCCTGAGCGCCCTGCTCTTTTGGCTTTTTTGCTTGCAGTTAATACTTTGCTCTAACATTCAAGATTCTCCAAATATTTCACCTTTGTGTGGAACTTTCGGGCTATATAAATGTTCAAATTCCGTTGCAGTTCGATGTGCGCGAAGATGAGGAACAGCTGGCGAAATTGCAGGATATTATTGATCTTCTCGTCGCCGCAGGCTATTTTCGCGCACGAATTAAATCCATACCTCCGTTTGACAAGGTTTTTACTTAGCTTATAAAGCTTAGTTTTTCATCTGCAAAAGTCGATGCCCACCGTTGGATGTAGCAAGTTTGAAGACCCCTCCAAATGACTACATTTTTACTGAATGGCTGTGAGGAACTTACCAGGTTGACAAAAAAAATGTGTTATATTTCGAACTTCTCTGTGAGCCTGTAAAAACTAACCTCCGGTTGTTGAATTTCGCAAATGCCGCTGTGAAATTTGACAATGTTCTGAAAAAAAAGGCCTTCTTTATTTTTCTTTCTCGTGATATTTCTGTTAGGAGTATTAAATAAAGAATTTTCTGATGTACTGAAAATTTTTATTTTTTTACTGCCGTAGACATTCTTATTAGTTTCGTGGGCGAAATCTGGATATCAATAAAATGACTTACACGCGTGTCAAAGTGACTTACGGAGATATACGCCGAAAGTCATAGAAATTTCACTCATCCGAAGTCGCAGAAATTTCAATTAACTGCATTTTTCCTACCAAAAATTTCACATTCCTTTAGGAAGGGGCTAAAAGTAAGGGGTGAATTTTAAATTTTAATGTACGTAAACAAGGTGCATCTCCTCAAAATTTCAGCTTTCTAGCTTTTCTGGTGCCCGAGTTAGTTCGGTTTTCCAGCTGCGCATCTGGCAGCTCCTCCAGTCACTTCTGGCCAATGCTAAGTCTCCTGGTGATTCAGTCCATTGGCTGTCCTGACTTTTTCCTGTATTTAATGAACTACCTTTGTTTCAACAGAAGCGCTTAGCAAAGCTATGGGCTTCATGAAATGCCACTGTTATATGTCTGGCTTTACCACCTCGTCATGCACGTTTCCACCTGTGGTGGTAGGCCACGGTGTTGCTTTTACTAACACTTCTAAATGTTGCAAGACAAAAATATCCTGGATGTGAGTGGAGAATGGACAGAAAAAAAGGTCATTAATTTTTCAAAATTTCTAATTGAAATTTCTAATTGAAACCCAGGCTGGAACGCACCAGGCGGGCCGGTGCGATTATGCGTTTTTGCACTTCTCGTGCC